GTCACCAATGTCCATCCTTCTTTATCATCGGTATGTGCATCTTGCTCGTTTGCCCCCGACGATGGTTACTCAGAAGGTATCGTGCAACTTGAGCATTGATAGGAATGGTCAGGTGTCGCTTGAAGAGGCACGGGATCGAAGGATCCAAATGCAATTGTAGTAGTATGTGTTGCGGCCGTGTTTTCGAGGTCGAGCTCAATTTTCCCTTGTTGCGCTAGCTTCATAGTGAGTTCTTTGAGGACGAAGCACTTGCCAACAGGATGGCTCACGATACGATGGTACTTACAGTACCTAGGATCGTTCACGCGATTGATTTCTTCAGGGCGCTTACATTCTGGTAACTCAATCACCTTCTTTTCCAACAAGTTGTCTAACATTGCATCAATGTCTGAGTCAGGAAAAGGGTACGCCTTCTGCTTCAATTCCCTCAAGGTACTTTTGTACCTGTCATGGGTGCGAGGAGGCTCACCTCTCTTTATCTCCTTTGCTTTGGTTTTGGAGGAGATCTTGATAGGCGCGGATGAGATCTTGATGGGCGCAGTGTTGATAGTAAAAGCTTCCTTGGCGGGCTTCTTCCCAGTTTTATCTACATTTGGGGCAAACACCTTGTCCTTCTTGAAGTTGGTGATTGGCTCTTTCTTTTCATGGTGAGCAATGATCAGCTCCATGTCGTGGGCACAAGTGGCTAACTCTTCAAAGGTCCGTGGCTTGATGCCTTGAAGGATATAATGTAACCCTCATTGCATGCCTTGGACACACATCTCGATTGAAGAGATCTCTGAAAGCCTGTCCTTGCAGTCGAGGCTTAGATTGCGCCATCGGTTGATGTAGTCCATGACTGGCTCATCTCTCCATTGCTTCGTGTTTGTTAGCTCTACCATGCTCATAGTGCGGCGGATGCTGTAAAAACGGTTGAGGAATTCCTTTTCCAATTGCTCCTAGCTGTTTATGGACTCAGGCTCCAGGTCTGTGTACCACTCAAAAGCATTTCCTTTCAGCGAGCGTACAAACTGTTTGGCGAGGTAATCTCCTTCTGTCCCCGTGTTGTTCCAGGTCTCAATGAAATGGGCGACGTGTTGCTTTGGGTTTCCCTTTCCACCGAATTGCATGAACTTTGGCGATTGATAACCCCTCAGCATCTTCAAAGCGTCAATCTTTTTTAGTAAGGCTTTGAGTATAGTACAGAGTCATGTGAACTTCCTTCGTACTGCGCCTTAATGGTGCTAGCGATCATCTTCTGCAGCTGCTGGATAGAAAGAGATCCCATGAGTGCCGCTGCTTGGTCCGGCTCCGGCTTCACATCGGCTTTCTCCACCAGAGGCTCATCTTCTTCGCCAGCTTCTCTTTTTAGTGGATTTCCCTTTAGGTCGGGTTTATCGTTTTGCTGCGCCTCCAATTGGTTAACGAGTGCAACGATTTGTGAGTTTTTTCTTCCACAATTCGTGTTAGCCTTGCGATCGCTTCATTCATATGAGCCAGCTGCTCATCGATTGAAGTCGATTCAGTGGTCATAACTTGCATGGCTGAGCTGCCGCTTAAGTCGGCATCGGAAAGCATAGAACCAAAACACTTCCTTGGGCTTTCCTCCCTTGGCGCCCTTAGCGAGGCCAGGGTGATCACAGGTTCGTGCCTCGGGTGCTTTTGTTCCTTCAGCGGAGTTGATGCAAGGGTGGAAGAGGTAGTAGAAAGAGCCCCTTGCCTTGCTTTGAGTTATGATGCCTGAAGTGACACCACCTGCAACGATGACGCTCTTGTTCCTTGTATTGGTTGCAAGAACAACTTGAGCCTTCTTTGATGCCATTTGTGCTTTTTGCGGATTCAAAGATAGAGATGAGAGGTAGAGAAAGGTCCTATTGGGCATGCCAAATTTGTAAACACGGGAATTCCTGCGATAAACGAGACAAGAACACATATACAAAATAATATTTGTATTAATGATTTAGGGGTTACAATCTCTTCTACAAATTTAGCCTTTGATTCTATCTTTGTAATGGGTAGATTTGTTGATGTTGTTGATCCAAAGGGTCGTCAGGGCTTGATCTTTAGGATGAACAGATGATGAATGACGAACACTTTCTTCAAGGGCCGTCGGGGATTGATCTTGAATTAGTGGAAGTTTCTTCAAGGGCCGTTGGGGCTTGGTCTTGAAGGAGGACTTTGACGAAGAACAAAGAGGGCTTTCTTGATTCTTCGGGATTTGCTTAAGAGTTTTAGAGTTTTGAGGTTTCAAGGCTTTGGTGTGGTGTAAATTCTCTTCCAATTTGGGAGTACAGAAAATGTATGTAAAAAATCCTCCTTATTGCTTGATGGAGAAGCCTATTTATAGGCTTTGAGAATGAATCACCACCATCCATTTGTTTGGTGAAGTAAGTGGATGTTGTAGGTGGGATGACTGTGTGATGTATGTGAAGTGAGTGTATGATGTAGGTGAAATGAATGAGGGTTGTAATTTTAATACAATTGTCAATACTTATTTCACCAAAATTTCAATGTCTACAGTTTTATTTACACTAATTTACTTTTCAGTTCATAGATTCAAGTAAGTTTTTTGCTTTAATTTTATTAGTTTAAGCACCTTTAATTATCTTGTATTCAAATTGAGTATGTGTAAACTTTATGTACTTACTTTCTTATTATTTTATTGTCATTCTTTATATTCTCACACTCTACATTCTTGAATTAATTCCTCATACATTTATTTTCATCTATAGGCCAGAAAATCAATAAAATGCATGTATCAATCTTAACCACCCTTGACCAAAGAGGAGGTTCCTTGCTTGGTCAAATAGTCATCTAGTTAAGGGTCAAATTTTGTGGCGTGCATCAATTTTTCATTCCATCAAGCCAAATTCGTGGCTTGGTGGTTACAATTCAACAATGGCAAAAATTCTCGTCAACAACCATCCTGCTTAATTAGGGAAAACACTTACGTAGCAAGCTAATGGATCGTTTGATGGTCATTTTTTTTTTTTTCAGTTTATTTTTTTTTAAATTAAAAACCTGCTTGATAATTGTTTTTAGTTTTCAAACCAAAATAATAAAGCTAGTTCGGCCATGTGATCTCACTTTTGGTTTTGGGTTGGCTATGGCCTCTTGGTTTTGGGCCTCCCCTTATGTGTGTTGCCCATTATAATCCTCACAATACCAGTTTTGACCTTGTATCTTAGAGCTACTTTCGCAACTCTCTTTAGCACACCTTAATGGAATATAAAAAAGTTCTCATCCTCCTAACTGAAAACGCATAAATTTTTCTTCTTTTCACTTTCAATTTGCCAACTGTGGGTTATGCACTTTATCTTTCTTTATTTCAACGATTTCTACTTAACAAATATGCAATCAGTCAATTATAATTATGCATCAAGTTCAAACACAGTGACGAATATACACTGACACAAAGATGATCCCAAGATCATTTAGAGTTCGGAAAATGCATGCTAATGTTTTCCAAAGACTTTTGAACGTTTGATATGGGTCAATTATGAACCAACCAGTGTTTGATGTAACATATGCTAAACATATGTCAGCAGGTTGTGCCGAGAGCACCTGATAAATTCTATCAACAACATTCATTAAATTGTTTCGGCATATATCGATATTTGTTAATATTACGTAACAATGTTTAGCTGACAACAACAAAACCACCAAATATTCGACAAAATGCGTCATCGAAAAAACTGATATATTTTGGCGCACTTCGCGCTGTGTTTTTATTAAAAAATTTGGACCTTAACACTAAACCCCTAATATTTGAATCCCGAATCCGTTACTGTTCAAATAAAATATTAAATCGTATCGTCATTCATGTGGGTGGAAAGGAAAACTTGAAGAAACTTAAAGGAATAATGAAAGCAACCTCAAGCGGTGGAAGCATCAGTGCTTCCAAATAGAGAATTCTAGTCCATCCAACTGAAGTGCGGTTCTACAGACAGTGGATCCCAACCGTACACTAGTGACCAGTGAGAGATAGAGATAGTCCAAGTCGTCTCTTATTCTATTTTCTTTTTCTTATAAGGGGTAAATTCTTATTTGACTTGGAGCATAATCGTTTGTGATAAAAGTCAAATGAGTCTTGTATACCACATATAAAAAATATATTTCCTTGGAAAAACACCCAAAAAAATAATGCCACAAAACTTGCATAAATAACTATATATAGGTCAAGTTTATATCTTTCAATTTACGTATTATCTCAAGCCAAGCCACAAGATTTAAAACTTGGAACAACTTATAAGTCTAAATAAATATTACCATCACCATAAACGGCACGTTTACATAAAAGTAATCTGAATCAAAACGCGGAAGTGAATTTCGATTATAGAGTACTTCAATGTTTACGAATATTAAGAGTGAAAAAGTTGGTGGGATCTATGTGAAATTTGGAATCCTACTATGAAATTTAGAGGAATTGGATTTATTACATTTAGATAATATTTGGATTCCGGGTGCCGGAGTCATAATTGGTTTTTCCTCCCCCATTATACTCTCACTTATTTCTAAAATTTCAAGAGTGCACTTTGCATTAACCCAACACCACCAACTGTTCCCCAATTTATACTCGATAATGATAATAACAATAATTAAGTCACCTAGTATTACAGTCTGGTGTTATTCCTCTTCACTTGTAAGTGAGAGATCTTAGGTCGGATTAAGAGATTTTCGTCTCATAATTTATTTTACTTTTTTATTCATTTAATTAAAAATAAAAGTGTGAAAAAATGGTCAATAATTGTTTTTTTTTAACAAACGATATTACTAAGGGCTAGCAATAATGTGGTTCAAATCCCTTTTTAGTGAGAATCGAACCTAAGAATCTCTCACTTACAAATGAAGAGGAATATCACTAGACAATATTACTAAGTGACAGCAAATGCCTTTTATTTCTTCAAATCTTTGATGAGATGCATATCTGATTAAAGAAGCCTTTCTAAAAATAAAAAAATTAATGGGTTGTTTTGTCCGGTCCAAAGTTTGGAAAATATTCCAAATTCATCCAAATACGTTTTGGAATGGGTACCTCTCCTTCCAAGCAATCAAAGACTTGTTGCAAGAAAGTCTCAACAACTACAGAGCAAGACCGGTACCTACTGTCTGTCTCTAACACCTAACGCTACCCAAAGCCCACCACCACTCTACTTTTCTATGTCCTTTTGTATAATCTCCGTCTCCTCCTCCTCCTCCTCCTCCTCTTCCGTGGCTCCACCTCGGCCTCCTCCTCCTCTGCCTCTTTTTGTTTCGAGCAGCCTTCTCGACTCTCATGGCGAAACATCAATATGAGATGGCGTTAACTCTTCTTGTAGTTGCCTCCCTTGGCATCGTCTCCTTCGTTTCATGCATAGCCGCCGAGATTAAGCGAACGAAGGTACGTACATACATACACACACACATACATACAGAACACATACGGTTTGATCATGACACTGAATGGTTACTGCTTAATTTAATTAGGGGTTAATTTCTTGATTAATTCTGGGGTTTAATTTTGCAGGACGACGAGCTCAAGTTGCTGGGAAGAATGTGTTATTTGCCAGAAAGTCAGGCATTTGGGTTCGGAGTTGCAGCCTTGATATGTTTGCTTGCTGCCCAGATCGTCGGAAATTTGATTTTTTGCAGTTATGTTTGTTCAAGAGATGAGAAGAAGAAGAAGATGAAGGGTACGTCTTCTACCACTACTACAACCACCAGCTCCAAAGCCAAAAGACCGATGGTTTCGATGGCTCTTTTGTCCATTTCTTGGTAGGTGTTCAATCTCCTCAATCTCGCTAGAGTTTCAAACTCAAACACTTATCTGTGCTCTGTTTGACTGGACTAAATACTTATTTACGCCACTCTATTACTTCGAAAATATCGTCTGATACTCTTTTATGTACAAGTTTTCTCTTGTGATTTTGTACACAAAAAGTTTAGGATTACGTGTTTTTTGAGTGTCAATAATTGTTACCTGTCAAATTAAATAAACAGAGTTATAAATAGTTTAAAATTTCGAATGTCTACCAACCTTCTCATTCGAACATTCTAGTTTTATTTTCTTGGCTCTCCTTCGCATACTGTAATGTAATGTTGTAAGATCATAATAAACGTCTACTTTCTTAGTCAATAAAGATGCCAAAAATCAACCAAACGTCTCTTTTTTGTCAAAAGATATCATTTAGAAGTCGCCTACCCAGTCAATTAACTTGCCGAAGTTTCGGTGGTTAGGTCCATTATTTTCTTTTATCATAGTGTTGCTGCGTATTGAAATCTTAATTGCCATGGTTCCGCTGCATAATATTTGATTGATTGACATAGTTGATTTTTGAGGTTGATTCGATTTAAATCATCGTGCAACATTGTAATAAGAAAGTGAGAAGTTCAAAATGAGATAAAAGGCCATAATAGTACTTCTCGATGTGGGTCATGTAAACTGAAGTAGTTTTGAGGCGTGACAATATTTTTGAAAAAAATTGTTATAATAATATTAGTCGTCGTTGCACAAATCGGATTAACTTCAGAACAACATAAAGTGTCCAGGAGCGACCTTCGTAAGGGTGTTTTGGTCATCAAATGTAGATGATATGTAAAGAGACTAAAGATAAAAAAAAGCATGTACAAGGTGTATGCAGTTCATCTTAAATTTGGCTACGTCTACAAGAGTAGAGGAATTCTCATTAATAATAGAGTGTTTACATAATGCAAGGGTTCAAGTATAATTGTCATTAGTAAAATATAAAGTTGATTAAGGAATGTTAGAACAGATGAAGCTTATCTAGAGTATCCTGTTGTCTTCCACGGTCGATGTGGGACTCTTAAGGACTTTATTCTGGTGTTGACACATTGTCGCATTGTAATTGAACTCCTAGTTAGAGAGACTCATTTGCTTCGGCAATGGTGTCTCGGTACGAACTCTTCAGTAGGTCTCCTAACATATATAGTTGATCGGTGCTTGATAGTTTTAGGGTTGGTGAAATAAGGTACAAACACTAATAATTCCCAATAAGATGGAAGTCAGACTCGATCTCAGAACCACTAAGATCTGATATGTGCAAAATGCCGATTAAAATAGTAAATTTTGAATGACCATTGACAATTGTTGCGCTTGCAGGATGAGCTTTGTAATAGGGGGGACATTGCTGAGCACGGCAACTAGCATGAGCAGAGAGCAACCGTACGGACGAGGATGGCTGGATGGGGAGTGCTACTTGGTTAGACAAGGAATCTATATTGGTTCAGGGATACTCATCCTCATTGCAATCGGTTGCACACTCGCCCTAATCATCGTCACCGCGACGAGGAGCCGAGTTGAAGATGGCTTTAAAGTAAAAGACCAAAGCACAAGTAGTGAATTGCCATAATAGATAAGAATTTTCTCTTCACCCACTACAGTCCGCGTTCGAACCCTCCCCCTCTCCCTCCCCCTCCCCCTCCCCCTAGTCTAGCTAAGAATAGAAATATCGCTTCTAATCAAAAGTTTTTGTTTTTTGTTTTTTGTTTTTTTTTTTTTTTTTTTTTTTTTTTTTTTTTTTTTTTTTTTGTGTCAAAGCTTCTAATCAAAAGTTACAGAGCAGAACAAGATGGATATAAAGTTGTAGTCAAACACAGATGTATACAGTTTCAACTATTACAAATATAGACACAAGCACAAGACCAAACCCCAGCTAATGTTGGAGATTGTGAGGTGACGAGAGAGAGAGAGGCACAACCACACCAGAATTTGATTTCTCTTTTTACCAATTGTATCATGGACAATATTTGCACAAAAAGGCCAGCTCATGGGCACTAAAAGGGCATGAACCAGTCCGGTTGGTGGTAGTTCTAAAACTCCTCTAAAAAACAAGAAAGTCTCAAGATGTCCACAACATTTACCTTTGGGATTCGATGCTCATTTCAAGAACGAGGAGGTAAAAGGAAGCTAAGGAGAACCATAGACCTCAAGTGAACATTGAAACACGATCCAGCATTAGAAGGGCATGTTGCCACCGCGTCCCCTCCCTCCATAGCCATATCCATAACCCCTTCCCCACTGATATGGACCCCGGTAATTCCCACCACGCCCAGAAGCATAACCACCATAACCAAGATTAGATCTCTGCTGGAAATTGCCAAATGTCTGGGGCAGAAATATTAAAACTAAATTAATATATCACCCAACAGCAACTTACGATCACTTTCTGATTTAATATTCAACCAAAAAACAAATAAAATAGAGTGGCAAACCTCAGTATCATGCTTCATTCTCTCAGAAAACCTATGTCCGTTTCTTCCTCCACGGTTGACTGAACTACATGAAATTGTGTCAAAGAACTCATCCTTGTTATATGCAGGCTGGATGAAACAAAAAAAGAAAAATGATTAATTCCAAGCTCAACATTTGCATTCAACCGCTAAACCATCCAGTATATACAAAATCCTTGTCCTACCTTTGTGTTGTGACCAGTTCCACTAGTTCCACTGTCATCCACTCTTTCTGTTGAATGTCTTTGTTTGTCCTGTCCTAGGTATCCCCATACTTCATCCTTCTTAAACTTCTCGTTCATCGCTAGAAAATCAAACTCCTCAGTGAACTGTGTAGAGTATGGAGACTGCAAAACATAAAACAATGAAAATTTTACCAGAAGTCCTATTTTATCCAGGAAACAGCTAGAACTAAGGATAACCAGAATACCCTTCCACTTCCATTCATATTTCCAATAGGATAAACAGCTAGAACTAAGGATAATCAGAATATGCTTCCGCTTCTATTCATATTTTCAATAAGATAAGCATGGAAAATGACATGCATATTTTCCTCAAACCACAACCAATGATCAAGCTAACTGATAAAATTGGAATCCCAAAAAGGGAAACAATCCATGTAGATACCAAACACAATAGCATGACAACAGCATCATAAATGCACTTCAAAATGTGCAAGACGCTTCCATTACTATTCAAGTGCATACATCTACATCACGTAGAGCAATATGTGATTCAGAATGCAAATGCACACTTCTGAGATATCCAATAAAACATCATTTTCAAAAGCTAGGTTCCAAACAGTGCAAACCAAAACCAGCATGGTTCAAACTAGAAATCACTTATTCTCTCCATCCACATGACATGCATGCACACACCTGATACAAGTACAAATAATTCAACTTGTAAATTCCTTCTTTCCCTCCCTCAATGGCAGAGATGAGTGCAATGTGCGCACACCCATACCAGCAAGCAAAAACCGCAAACAAACATGAAAGTTATATATGCTGCCAAGAGCTTAGTGAGATCTTTATAAGCATGTGGGCACATACTCACACCAGCATTTAAGTACTTTTGAATTGATACCGTACTTACAGTAGTTAAAAGCATTTGATTGTCTAAAAGCACTCATTTTCTTAATTCTAATAGTCAAAATTTCCTAGGAACATCTCACCCTGTATAAGGTCCAAAAAGAAAATATCTTATCAATTACTAAATTAAGAGGACACTTTGCCAATTGTTCCAAAGCACATAAATGGAATAAACATCAGGTCTAAACCTAAGACGCAGAAGTTCACAGAGCCTTTGTTAGAAAAGCGCCACCACATTTGTACATTGGAAAACACAATCATTTGCAATGGAAAACGAAAAAATATAGGGGATTAAAAAGACAAACTTAGTTATCATAAAGTTTATGAAAAAAAGCTACTTTCAATCTCACCTGTTGGGTAGAAGTGGGCAGTGGCAACAATGGTGCTTGAGTTGCGGGAGGAGGAATCATGGATATAGAACTAGATGAGGTTGGCATCAAAGTGCCCATTAAGTGTGATCTAGAGGGTGCCAATTGATCAGGAGTTAACAAAGATGGGGGTGGTGTTAGCAAGGGACCTAGATCAGAACCCACAGAAAACGATCCTGGATAAGGCATGGATTGAGAAGGTAGAACTGGTACTGGATCAGAAACAGCTTTTGTAACAATTTGTGTTTCACTTATATCCAAGTCTTGGCGAGGTGAAGGAAACAAAGGCATAGTTAGTCGGCTAGCATTTAGAGGTGTAGAATGAGATGGTAAAGGTACCTGTGAAGCCAAAGATGAAGGCATACCAAGAGAAGAAAAAGTTACAGGAGTAACAGAGGCGGAAAAGTTTGGATGTACAAAAGTTGGTGCAGAAGAAGAAATTACGGGGGTAAGACATTCCGATCCATTTGCCATGCCAATAGCTGTAGAGGATTGATTTCCAGGAGTCTTATTTTGCATTGTCAAGGGATGTGATGTTGCAGATGAAGACTGCAAAGGAATATGGTTATGTGGATGGTCAGACATATTCAGTGATGCACCATTGTATCCTTGCCAATACATTGGAAAAGAAAGTGCTGGAGGACTGGGAAGTTGAGTAGAAGAGGTATTTCCTGATGGACCAACATCAGTTCCATAATGATAAGGCAATACACCGATATGTTGTCCTCGACTAGTCAAAGCAGGGGTATCCTGCCAATGAGTTGTTTCTGTCAAGTTTTTACCTCCAACTAAGGCTGATGGTGGAGAACTTACAGGCGCCCCAGTATAGTGTGACTGCAAAGAAAAAAATCAATTAAATATATGAAATCATATTTTCTAATTGACTCAGAGAGATTATAATTGCCTATGTACTTTTATGTATGAGCATCGTATACACAGGTACTTAACCAAATGTCAATACCTGTATAATAGCAGGATCTTCGTGAATTCGTTCTTCTCTTTGAGATGACGGGGGGGGCTTAACTTGTAAATCCTACAATTGTGAAAACAAGAGAATTATCAACACATGTATGATGCAATCTACAAAATTCATCACCCCAGCAAACTCATCTGTTTACAAAGTCTAGGAACGGTTTCATCACAATGAGATCTCATTCATAAAAATCCTCTCTAGAACAACAAAAAAATGTATGTCTGTGTGTGTAAGAGAGGGAGTTAACTGAAGTATCATTCCATGCCACATAAGAAAACTTATAGAACAAAGGAGGGCAGAACTAGTAAAAGATGATATTAAACTCAAAGGTGATCCCTAGCTCAAAAGGGCACAACACATATTGAAAGCAATGAAAAGCGAAAAAAAGGGATAACACATCCAATGATTTACATACAACATATAGAAAGAAAAAAACCAATTAAAATGCCACACAGAATATTGCATGCTTCAGAAAAGAAACTATTATCTCAAATCTTTCTTTCATATCCCCAAAATTTTCCAATAGATTTAGCATCATTCATGTGTGCACAAGTTTCTTAGTTTCACACTAATAAAGGAACACAATTTTGTTCAAAGATCCACACTTTCTTCTCCTATTATATAGTTAATTATACTAATCTTATGAATCTTAGTTTCTTTGATTTCTCTTCTCTTCTTCAATCTCTATCATATGTTCATCTGTTTCCCCCTACTTTCTATTCTTTGTATACTTCTTTTCTTGTTCTTTATGATATAAAGAAAATTTACTAATGAAGACTAGAAATAAACAAAAATACGAAGTAAAAAATAATAATAGTTTCGTCCCTAGCAACATAAACCAAGAACTAGCCAAAATAAAGCAACACAACTTTATATGGAGCGATAAACGTATAAAAGAAAGAAGATAAGATTAAACAGTAAATCAAGTATATAATGTTTCCCTCTTACCTTGATGTCAGTTGCTCTAAATAGAATATACTCATACACCGTATCAGTTGGAGGAACTTGTGGGCCATCCTTCTTACGCCCCTCTGTTCCATATGCTCTAACTGCAACATCATACAGAACTTAATACATTTACAATGTTTGACTTCCCAAGTATATGTTGTACTTTTATGCACAAACGGAAGCGAATTCTAACAAAGTACCAATATCAACATCGTAGGTGAAAGCTAAAACAAACAATCTCAAACTAACAAAAGATATTTACGTGGTTCGGCATAAAGCCTACGTCCACGAGCAAAGCACGGCGAGGAATTTCACTAAACAAACGGATATTACAAAAGAGTGTTTAAACTCTCACAACCCAAATCCCACAAAATACAAACCTTAAACCAAACGAGTAGAGAACCCAAACCTAACGGAGAAGATTCTCCCAAATTGCTCTCTTAACTCACAAACTCACAAATTGACTCTCACCAAATGGCCACACAAAAGAGCCACACCAAATACACTAACCCTAAGGTCCTATTTATAGTGCATAGGACTTAGGTTACAATAAGAATCCTAATAGGAAGTAAATCCAAATCCTAATCAAATAGGTAATTAACAAAATCTCTCCACCAAGGAAACCAACTAAGAAGTCAAAATCCAAACCCAAATAGAACACCAAAACCAAATAGGTAACACAAACATAATTTTTGCATCATCCTAATTTTGAGCCGTAAAACCCAACACTATAGAAGACAAAAAACCAAATTATAACTATGTAAACAGTTGTTTTAGTAAAATTTCATGTCAGAAAATACATCCAGGGTGTAAATACTTGTGGAATTTTTTAGAACAGTAATATATTCTATATGAACACAAGTTGTAGACATAGTAGAGAAGATAGATTTCACTTCAAACACTCCTAGTGTATATTTGACTATTACTATATAGAAACCTTATGAACATTGTACAATGTTAACCAACCGAACATTAATAACAAATTTAACCCCTAGTACTGTAACTTTCATACGTCCACTCAATATAAAAGAGGTCAAGGAGGAAGAAAATTAGATCCAATTCAGTATATTGAGGTATGTCACAAATTGATGACGGGGTTATATTTCACTCCAACATAAGTAATGAACATAGCAAACATCTACCTCTCTCTCTCTCTCTCTGCCAGACAAATGATTGTTTAACATTCAAACAATCCTATCATCTTCATTAAATAACGACTTAATGAGTCCAAAAGCTGGATGTATGTTTCAAACTTAAAATGGAATTATCACCAAGTCCAACATAAGTTATGAATGCAGAAACCTCTCCCCGACAGATGAATAACAATTTAACCTTAGATGAAAAACTATACAATCTTCATCAAATGACAATTTCCAAACGCGTTCTTCTAGAGCATATAGCAGATCAAAAATTTTTACAATTATAAATCGACTAGACTGGATTGATCTTTCAAACACTGTTTTCTTCAACCTCACAGAAAGATTTCCAAACCAAACAATTTGTGGCAAGAATTCATTGACCAATCAATCAAACCATGGTCCTTAAGGACTGAAAGACATAAGCTGCAACAACTTAGCTGCAATGCACATATATATATATATGTGTGTGTGTGTGTGTGCGCGCGCGCGCGCGCGCGCGTATGTTCTGAGATTTTGCTTCCAAACATCATATACTTACATGCATAGAGAGATTTGGGGACCGAAAAACCTAAACCCTAGGCAATCCACGAGTACGGATTCAAATGGGCATCGAATCAACCAAATGCACATATATACATATACATATACAGATTACATATGTGTGTATAAATGTGCGGAGATTGCAGATATAGGAAGAAATGGAAGCGCTAGACGCACCGTTTTTGAGGCCGATGGAGGAGTCTTGGACGCTGAGGAAGTAGAGAACGCCTTCGTAACGTATCTCGTACTTGGAGATTAGAGTGATGAGGCTGCCGATGTACGATTCCCCAGATTCAGTCGACGCCATTGACGAGGGAAATGAAATGAAGTTTTTCTCAGAGCCGTTGCTGTTTTTTCGAATTAGGGTTAGGGCTTTGTCTCTCTCTCTTTCCTTGCCTGCGAATTGTGAAAGGTTGGTTTAAAAGCGCCCAAAACCTTAGGGGTAGTTTGTTATTCTATTTCGGTATTTCCTTGCCGAACTTGTGAATCACTTTGTAAATATAATTAGGAATTGCTATTAGCACTCTAAAAATCTCATTCTATATTCTAAACTTTCTATATTAAAAAAAAATTACACTTGTAAAGAGTGTAGAATGAGATTTTGGAGTACCAATAACACTTCTCATATAATTTTTGCTGAGTAATTCTAATTAGGCAACTTTTTTGACATAAGAAATAAAAACATTAATTCTTTTTTTTTAAGAATACTAACAAAAAATCTTCAAAAACTTTAGTTTTAACTAAAATGACAAAATAAATGTGTAAGTGAATAGTATCATGATTGACTTTTTAAGGTTAAAATGTCATTTTCGTTAAAAATGAACAGTACCGAAAATGTTTCATTAAGATTTTTTTTTTTTATCAAAAAATTTGAATGATTTCTCGATTTATGCGTGTCATATTTGCAGAGGAAAGAAATAACTGAACCTTAATAAAAATGGTTTGTCTAGCAAAAATCAATAAATATGAGATCGTTTAATAACTAAACTTTATAAAAATGGTTGGAGGCAATAAAAGCATTACAAACTGTTTATTTATACAATTAATTAACTAAACGATCTTGAATTCAAAAATAATTTTTACAAGGCAACTCATAACATAACAGTTTCGATCGTAAACACAAAAATTTATAAATTGGTTGGAAACCAGCCAAGCATTCCTCAATTAACTACTCATCGAAGGGCAGTCTTGTAAATCGCGAAAAGTTTAATCCTAAACATTAAACCCTTTGCGCCTCGCTCTTGTTGCTCTCTCAGTTTCCTCCCTCGCCGTCTCAGTCCTCATCACACCAAGCACTCGCAAACAGAGCACCACTCACATTTTCTGGGTCACTTTTCTCAGGTAATTTTCTTCCCAAAAATCTCGATTTCCTTACAATGTGTTTGGCTGCTGAGAAAATTCATGTCTTGCCTTTGTGTTTATCTATGTGTGGAGAAAATCTTTAATTTCGTTTTTATTTCTTCTGGAAATTGTTGGGTTCAAAACCTTCTTATTGGTTCTGCTTATTAGCTAAATTATATCTGTGAAGATTAATTTGTGACGCATTTTGCTTTATTTTCTGTGAAAATTAATGGGTATTATTTCAATAACTTCACCGTACACGACTTTGTCTTCTAATTTCTGATTTTTCTGGAATAAAAGTGCGACACCCATTTGTTTAATCCTGAATTCAAGAAAATTCACAGCCTATGAGTTTCTTGCATTCAATTTGTCAAAATTTAGCCTAAAAAAAAACCATTAACAAATTAAAGCTTGCTGCAATGTACAATTAGGTTACCTTCATTTAGGTATCTTCAGACGGTCAAACTTAATATCTGATATGCACACAAAGATTTGTTTAGTTAATTGTGTTCATATCATACGCATGGAGCGTGGAATTGTTTGAAGGTGAATAGACTTTGGAAGAGCATAAGCTAGATCTTTTATGGACAGTAGCTAGATCCTTAATTTTTTGTATGGTGAGGAATATGGGTCTGATATGGTGCTAAAAATCTTGTGTTTGCTAGTTAGGTCTGGTCCCGCATATATAATCTCTACTGTTTAATGGTAATTGTCGCCATGTTTACCTTTTTTGGAACTTCAACTGGAAGATGCAAAAAAGAATTGGATTTCATTTATGAATGAGTCAGTTCCTTACTGGAAATCGCCAAGTTTATGCAGTGATTTATTTTGTGGATGCAAGTGACTACTCAGTTTCTTCCCTAAAAATCAGATGTATGCATGTGTGTATATAATTGGGTGTATCTTTTTGTTTATGCAAGTGAATACTCTGTTGTGGGGTTAGGTTCACTACGCCTCCTTTGACTAGGTGTATCATTTTGTGTTTATTAATGAAAATTCATTCGCACCGTCTACTTCTTTTTAGAATCTTGTTATTTAGTTCATCTTTATGTTTTAAACATGTTTTATAATTTTGGGTAAGTCTAAAGAAATAAAAAAGACTAACAAAGTTTCTATAAAACTTTGAATCTGGGGAAAAAAAAGGAGTATGTAAGGTCAGCCCAGACCATTTTGAATCCTAGTTCAGCTAAATGCGGTGTTTGGCACATTTTATGTTGTTTTCTTTTTAATCTGTTTATTGGTTGATTTATTCTGCTCTATTTGTGTTTTTTGGGGTAGCGGGAGAATTCTTTTCTTTTGTTGAAGACATGGTGGGTTGGCAGAGGCATGTACAGCCCCTAATCCGTCATGTTGGCAAAAGAGTGGAGAATCATGGTTACACGTCTGCTGCAAACTTTTCTTCTTCTTCTCATTTTCTAAAACTCCAGACACCATCTTACCAAACCATCTCAAGGCCCCTTCATCAGTACTTTCAACACTTGGTAATGCACAAAACTCGTCTTTCCATTTAATCGATTACAGGCTACAGCACCTTTGGTTTTTCTGATTTTCTCTCTCCTTTTGTTTAAATTGTCATATATCTTATTCTCTTTCCATATCACAAGGGAATTTCCAGTTCAAGGAACTTGCTTGCAGATTCATCTGATGGAGCACCTCATCAATCTTCAGTCACTCCTCTCTCAGCTTCAAGTGGTGAAAAAATTGAAGAACAAAACCAGAAATCATCTTCTAGACCTTCACAAGTTCAATTTGTATTAAAGGGCATGAATCAGGTTACCATATTCACACTTATTGCATCTTTTTAATGGTTTGTAACAGATTCTAAAGTTTTTTTTCTTTTTTTTGGGTGTGTTGGTGCTATACATTAAAATGTGCATACCGGTTGGAACACTTCAATTCTATTCAAAGCTCTGTTAATGGGTCAGTTCCTTTAGGGTTGTTGAACAACTTAGAACAGATGTTGCATTCATATTGTTCCTGTTGCTTTATTTATGGGTTAAGGTGGGGGCTTCTGTATTTGGGAAAAGACAGCATTGCAAAACGGAAGTCTGCAGATGTTCTTTATGTCAAGTGGAGGAATTCCTTTTTGTCAAAGTTTGTCAATTTTTTTCCATTAAATGATATTTAAGGGCTGCATCTTCACATTAATATAAAAGATGCCTTGTTACCTAAATGGCTGCTCTATAAGTTCTATGTTGGATGTTATTTTCTGATCGTACATTTATTAGCTTTAGCTCACTGCCTCCTTGCAGAGTCCTAATAAGGTCAACTTGGTTGCTAAACTGGTTCGTGGTATGCGTGTTGAAGATGCATTACTGCAACTGCAAGTGACAGACAAGCAAGCTGCAAAAACTGTGTATCAGGTGATAGAGCCGTTCCACACTTTGTTGCGCTAGGAAGTCTCTTGATTAGAGAAATACTTAGTGTGTGTGTGTGTGTGTGTGTGTGTGTGTGTGTGTTTATATACAAGGATTGCAGTACTGATGGATGCAACTGAATTTATGATTTGTTAGAGGGCTGGAATGTGAGAGATGCACTTTCTAGTAGTATAATCTAGTGTTTTCTCTTGCAAAATAATATTCCTTTCTTACAAAATTCAGTTATCTTGTGAATTATTTGGTATTTGAATTTAAAGTTGTTTAGCCTTTGGTCCTTTTTACATAATTATGCTCATCTAGAACTCACGGATGAAGAAATGTCTAATATTTGGATGTGTTACAGAGCCTCTAGAGGTATATATTTTTCCTTCAGAGTCATAACTTTTTATAACAGAATATTAACATTATGTAAGACGCTACTGTTTGCAGGCTCTTCACTCAGCCCGGGCGGATGCAACTTATAATCATGGGTTGGATCCAGAACGTCTTCTAGTTGGTAAATAATGCCAGTAAAGTTCCCTCTATTTATTATATTGTTTTTCATAAAAATCAATCCTCACTGTTCTGTATTCTCCCCTCAGCTGGGGCCTTGGTTGGAAAGGGATTCTTGGGATTCCGCAAGAACAGACTTTACTACCATGGTAAAAGCAATGACGGAACTAAAGTGAGACCAAATTACCAACTAACGGTGACGCTAAGGGAGATTTATCCGGAAGAGGAGGAGGAGATAGCCAAACAGAGAGCTGACAATTTTCTCTATATCAAGAAACGCCTCCGGCTCACGAAGCAGGAAAATAAATTTGTTTCTCACCACCTTATCGGCAATTACAAAGGCAAAGGCAGTACCAGTCAACAAGGTGGTATGGCTTCATGAGCAATCTTCCTTCCCATGCATTAACATTTTGAAAGAGTTTGGAGACGTTCAAGAGCTCCTCCTTTGTCCTTGCAATTCAATAAAATGTCGTGTAGAAGTGTGAAAAACTGAAGTGTCAAGAGTAGGATCAAGCCTTTGTCTCAGTTCCAGGTCGTGGCTGCATCCCGCGTGTTGTTTTAAATGCTTAGAGGTATACCATCTCAAATCATCTCTTTAGGTGGTGCATTCAGAGAAGGTAGTTTTTACTTCTTTCACCTTGGCACTGGCCGTCGACAACTATGATGATTTGAAGATTGGTGGTGTGATTGACAACAATCTGACAAGGTTCTTATAGTTTTGCTAAAGTAATATGGGGAAGCAATTCCAAGTGCCTTTTCTAGAAATATTTGGGCTTTTAATAGAAATTTTTTTTGGGTTCCTAATAAAGGTGCTTATGCCAAAAGCGAGATCAAGTGCTTCATACAATAGTGATTTCAACCTGCCCTTCAGAACTCTCATATCATATCGTTACCTCATGATTGGGTTGATCAAGTGGTATTTGCTCAAATTAACGATCCTTGTAATTCCTTTTCGACTTTTTGATGGTTTCCTTTGTCCTGCATAATTGTATTCGATCTTACCTTATTCAAAACCAAACATGCGTTTTGGGCTTTGTCTGCAAGGCTGCAGCCCAAGCCCAAATGTTTTTAATTTTGTAAAAATGAAAAATCATTAAAACTCATTTAAATAAGAAAGTTTTAACAAAAACACTCCTGGTACTGTTTACTTTTAACGAAAAACCATATTTATACCTTTCCTTGGTACAATTTACTATATCTTTAAAAATAATTTTTCATTAAAAGGAAAACTTTTTTTTACTTTTCGTTAGTTTTCCTTTTAAATGATCTCTAATATTCCCTGGGGACTTTTAAGTGGTAGAATACCACCACCATTTTCTTCACAATTTGCCTCCATACAAGCCAAATGAATGATGTGCCCCCATTTCATATAAAAAGAGTGCAATAATAATCTTTAATTTTTAAAGTTGGCGATCCACTAGTAATTGCATAGAGTATAAAATTATTTTTAATTGTCAACTTTTTAGAATAAAGCTTCATACGTGGGCGCATCTATTCTTTAGTAAGGGCTGGTGTATGCCCCACCTAGATCTCGAAATTCCCTTCCACTATACTGGATTTTGTCTACTCGGTAGTTGGGCAAGGCAGGTGGCCCAGGACTTCGCTGGACAAGAATAGTGTGTGGGAGCGCAAGAAGAAAAATTTATTTCACCCAATTTCATTAAATTCCCTCAAATTTCTACATCCCAACTTTCTTCTTCAATCCATATGACGCCACCATGGCTAAGACCTTGCACCAACAGACTTTTAGGCCTTATAAACTTTTATGCTTTGCGCTAGGGCTGGGCACGGGCCGGGCCGAGCCGGACCTAATTTTCAAGGAACCGGAGGTTAAAAGAAACGGGCCGGGCCGAGTCGGGTACATCATATTTCATTACAGGAATCGGACCGAACCTGGCCCGTTTGAAACGGGCCGGTCCTTGGTTTTTTTTTTTTTTTTTTTTTTTTTTTTTGCGAAATCGCTACGGAAAGGACTCCAGAACCACCGCCATGCTGCCTTCGTCGTCGCACCACAGCTTCTCAACCGAGCCCCGCGCCGGCACCGCCACGTTTCTCACCATGGCTAACATCCTCACAAGCAACACCTCCATGCTTTCCGACTCTGGTGGCACCTGCTCCGTCTCGGACTACCTCATTGTGCAGGAACCAATGGAATAAGCAAACTGCAAGAGACCAAAGCAACAAATGTGATAAAGCTACCACTACCATTGCGATCAGGACAAAAGTCATTAGACGATAATTTTAAGATAAAAATCTGGCCATAAGCAAATTCCACTTAAAAAGTATTGGAACTAAACAATGTGAATTAGAATGAGAACTAGTCTGGGCCTATGGAACCGCCAGTGATCAACTGATGGTTGAACAACCAATTCTGCCTGGTCAAATATAACAAAACAACTTAGGAAATATATAGTACAGAACAAATTTCAACTTTTCAACTGATAGTACACAAAGCTTGGAAATACCATCTAGCATTGCAACAGTCGATTCTTTTGTCTAATCTCTGTAATAATGCAGGTATTTTACAATGCAATTACCTTCATATGATTCAAAAACTAGTCCAGAAATCACAAGTAACCATAAAAATATCCGTCCAAATCTTCATATATAAGGATAACAACAAATGGAAAGCAATTTCAGCAGCTCTATATATTATATGAACATGATTTTACTTGAGTTGTGGCAATGTCTGATTAAAAAAGATTCAATACCATGAATGGGTGATTAAGCTCGTGGTTTAGCACTCATACAGATGAACTAAAGAAAATTAACATATCGAATTGATGTTGCCAGAACTAAGAAAGGTAACATGTAAAGGAGCATGGTACCAAAAAAAAAGCTTGCTAGCTTGATAAGTACTATAACTTAAGGTATATGTTTTGAGAAATGAAGGTTGATCGAGAGATTTAACATCTCGTTCATCAGTACCTGTACCGTGCTCTGTTTGCACATATTGGACATCCTGAAAAACGCCACAGCATGCCACTGGAAAACACAGCATATATGGTAAGAAGTCAACAGTACAATGCACTTAGAAGAGAAGAGAAGGTGCGAATCTGCTCTCGGACTACCTAATGGAAGAGAACAAAACAAAACACACCATTTTAATATTCAATACCCAATTTTTCAAATGGCAAACAGATCTGAAGCAACTAAATTCCCCAATCAAATTATAAAAACCCCATTTTTCTCTACCTTCACCACAATCAGATTCCAATCTCATCATCTCCAAATTTGCCACCTTTCCCAGATTTCACTATCCCTTTTCCACAAATATTAACACACACAGGAAATAACTCACAAAAAAACAGCCAAATTCCCAAAAACCAATCTCTCTAACTTCGGGTGATTAACAAAAAAACTGAAAAATTAATTCCCATCAAGCAAACTCAATCAATCTCTCAGGAGCTCTCTCAATTGATCCTCGATGAAAGCCTTACCTCCTCGGTGTTGAGAAGATGACGCTTTCACATGTCCAGTCCTCAGAGCGAAAATGCAGAGAAAATTAGCAAAACCCAGCTGGGATTAAGAACTTAAAGAAGAAAAAGAAGCAGAAGAAGAAGAAAGTTCGGGGAGAGAGAGAGATTGTGGGAGATAGAGCGGCTGAGACAAAGTGAATTCTGGAAAGTTGGACTTGGTAGAAACTAGGGCAGAAACCAACGGTTGAGATTGGATGATAGGTTATCATTCAATCTCTGCCGTTCATTATAATTAGAAACGGGCCGGTCCGGGTACCCGTTTTTCTAAGCATCTAGACTCGGCCCGCCCCGTAAATGAAAAGGGCCCGGCCCGACCCGCCCCATTTGTTCTCTAAAATATTAGGAACCGGCCCGTACCCGTCCCGAACCATGATTACCCGCCCCGACCTGCGGTTCCTATACCCGTTTGCCCACCCCTACTTTGCGCACCTAAAAAAAACTCACAAATCCGTCGTTGATTACGACTGCTTTTATACCAAAGTGCAATAGATTGGACTTCTTTTTTCAATTCCTCCAAGAGAATAATCGCCTAATATTTGCTTTCAATCTAATATTTGAACTGAGTTGGAGCTCAGAAAAGAAGTCAAGTTCAATCATCGTTCGTCTCATACGTTTAAAAAAGAGCATGTCAAAGAAAACCAGCTTATGTGTTTGTTGTTCGTACGTAAATGCATTCATTGTTCCATTCTCCTAACCAAAAAGGCTAAACAACTTCAAGTCAATTGCTCACATTGATTATGATTGGGTAGTTCACGTTAGGACATCATTGTTTTACACTACTTTTATTTTAATTTTATTTTTCACTGAATAATAATAACGATAAAAAAAAATTATAAAAAAAAAAAACAATGGTTCAACTGAAGATGGTAAAGAAAATAAAATTTGTGTACAATTAAGCACTGCACTTTTAATTTAGTTCTATTTTCTTTTTCTTTTTTTCAGCACTTTTAATTTAGTTGATTCTCAAAAGTTTAGAGTTCTTGTCTGATAACCATTGCGTTTGTAGTTGAGATGATGAAGTTAGGAGGGAGAGTGAGAGAAGAAAGGGAGACAATGTATGAACTAAATAAATTACTTAACTAAGGTTATCAATTTATCCAGCAATCATTTACCGAGGTTACTGTACTTCATCTAAACATGAAACAATGGTAGACGGATCTTGTTAGCACACTGTTTGTTCCATACTTCACCAATTCTGAAACCATCGAGCATCGGTCAATTAAGTATCTTGGAAGACCTATTAAAGGGTCCGTGTCGAGACATCTTTGCCAAAACACGAGTTCCTCTCCAATCAAAGATTAATCACAATATAACACGTGTCAACAATACCAGAATAAAGCTACTAGAGTCCCACATCGACTGCGGACAAAAACAGGGAACACTCCTCAACCATAAAAGGAGATCATTCTCCCACAATTGATCTCTAATGATCTTATTATACTTAATTCATTACTAGAACTCACTAATAATGATTAAACTTAAACCTTTGTATCTTGTGAACTCTATAGAATTAATGAGAATTCCTCTCCTCTCATAGACGTAGCCTAACTTAAGATGAACCACGTATATCTTGTGTTTACTTATGTATCTCTATCTTTTTACGTATTATATTCACTTGATGACCAAAGAAACCTTACGAAGATCACAAATTGATAACTATTTTAGAGTCAACTCGATTTTGTGCATCACACACCACCTCATATACAAGAAATTTTCAAGTATTGTAATCGAAGAATGAGCTACGAATAAACACGTTGCTACATTTGATGGCATCGGTCAATAACTTCAAACATCTCCCTATCTCACATTATAATTTCACTACAATAACGTGTATGACAACTAAGCCTTTATTGACTTTCCCATAACTTGAAAGCTCTCACGTCATAAATATCCGTTTGATCGATCTCTCTTTGACTTTTCCATAACGTTCAAAGTTTTGACTTTGAATAGCCAACTGCTTATTTTGTAGTTAATCGACATGTGTCCTTCACGTAGCTTTTGGTGTTGTGGAAATGGAGAGGGCAGTTTATGGATATGATTTTGTTGAGTTTTATTAGCTTTAATAATTAGGTTTGTTATTTATTAGGTTTCTAGTTGATGCGTCACCAGATTGCAAATACATGCACGTTGGAAAATTTTAAAATCGATAACCATTACGTTTTTAATTTGTTGTTCGCATTTTTTATGATTTTGGGGGTAGAAGAAAAATACATTAAAAATGTGAGAGGAAGAAGAGTGGAGAAAGAAAAGCGATATGGAAGAAAGGTACACGATGCTTCAGCCTCTAGTCATGCTAGCTAGCATAAGTCAAATCTTAAAACAATCGAATAGGCATCCAAAAATGATGTGTTCTTGGGGGCAAACTAAAACAAGATGAACTGGCCTTGTAATTCTAAAGATACAATGAACTTAATACGTCTTTGAGATTTTGGGAGTCCTGTGTGAAATTATAAAAAAAACCCTTCCTTAATATATAACATTATTATATAATAAAATTGAAAGAAAATGCACAATAAGATTTTAATGTGCTAATAAAAGTAATTTTTTTAATAAATAGCATTATTGTATATAAATATTTGATGACAAATTTTTTTTGGAGCCCCCTCAAAATTAGGGACCTTGTGCGTTTGCCCTTTTTGCTTACCCCCAAAACCGCCTCCAAGACCGACCCTAAGAATTTGGGGGCTCTAGGTGAGCCTTCGAAGTGTTACCCTAGAGTTCTCCGACCCCCTACTTTTTGTACATTGATATGTAGAAAAAAAAAATTTCGCTAAATACATTAAAAATATATATATATATATATATATGTATATATATTCCTACATCAAATACCATAAAATATTAATGTCACAGCCCGTCCCGAAATAAATTATCTATGACGTGAATTGACTATTTTACCCTTGGATGTGAGCGTTGCGATGTGTTATGCATGTAAATGGTGGTCCAAACTTGCATTTTTCCCAAAATTTTGGAACAAATTGGAAATTAGTTTTGTGGTTTTGGTTGGTGACCCACGTGGACCACTCACACACACACACAAACCCTTCCTCTCTCTTCTCTTCCGTGCTCTCTCTTCCTCGGACTCACTGTCTCTCCTTCCCTCACGTACAGACCAATAACAACACAAATGGAAAGTTGCAGATCGAGGGTTTAAAGGACACCATCATGTTCCTGAGGTTCATACAAGTTGAATGGTACCATTTTTAGGTAAGAACTCCTTCGAAAACCCTAGTTTCTCTCGAACTTCGATTTAGGTCTTATTCATGTAAACGTAAAATCTCATGTTTTTGGGGATTTCAAGCTTATAGATAGCTTAAGGAGGTCCTCACGAGGCTAGGAGTGGTTCATTGGAAGATTTTAGACGTCGGAATAGCGAGAACGACAAGTTTTAAGTTTGGCCGGATTATCGGGGAATTTCCCGACGAGATTTCGTGGGATTTAGGTCCTAAAACTGGTAAGGGTTTATTCTACTTGTCCTAAGCTTCATTTTGGTATATAATTCGTGAAATTTGACTGAGAAATGGACGAGAAATGAAGGTTTAAACATTTTCCAAGTTTCTGGCGCCGGTGACTGTCGCCGGAGACCTAAGGTTAGGGATGACGAAATATTCCGTCAACTTTGATGGAATATTCCTAACGGCGTCGGTTAATTTTAACAGTTTCTGTTACTTTTAACGGAATATTCCTAATGGCGTCACTGTTACCGTCAATGTGCCTAGCACGTGCTCGCGTGTGGGCAGCGCGTCTGGCCGTGCCTTGGCCAACGCGTGGCCGCGCGTGGGTGGTCAGAAAATTATTCTAAAAATATGGGAATGTTCGTAGAGTTGTGTAGATCACGTTGGTGTATTCAAACATCCCATTTGTGCATTGTATGAGAAGTTATTAGCTAGTTTTGTCTATGTGCTTTAAATGACGTTTTTATAGTTATTTAGCATATAGGGGAGACTTATTTAGAGAACGAGCGCAGTCAAGGGCAACTCGGGGGCTACGACCCTTCGACATACCAATGAGTGGGCTTTTGGTTTTCAGTATTTTCCCAGAAAATGCATTTAAATGAAAGTATGCCTTGAATGTCATGCATATAGATTTATATTTTGTATATGATATAGTATATGATGCATAAAATATAATTATGGTGTTGTGGACGCTCAGGTAAGTACCAGGTGAGTTATGTTTGGTTATGTGAATCATCGATGATGTGATATGTGATTGAGAAACATTGAGCTCATAAACCTACACCTAGGGTAATTATGATTTAGTCAGAGATATGGCACATGCCTGTATATAATGTCACCTCCCGCACCATATGCTCATATTGGATCCAATTTAGGTGCACAGTCTTGTCCTACAGACCATTATAGGTGGTTCCGATTCGTAGGTGACTAGCGACTTATCGCCTAGCTATCATGAGAGAGTAGTATTGAGCATAATTATATTACACCCAGTCTTGTCGTAAATACCTTTTCATTGGTTCTGACTCGTGTGCAGTGTAGTGTCGTATAGGTCAAATTAGTGACTCCGGCTAGATTGACTATTGAGCTTCGAATTCAACCATACAGACTTCTACAGGGGTTCCGGCTAATATGTTATTTTCCTTGAATTTATTCTCACTTGAATTACCTATTCTGTTATATCTTGGCATGGCATACTTATGATTATGAATATGTGAAGCATGATTTGAATTGAGATAATTACATATACATTTATGCATATGTCTATATTCTATTTCTAGGAAAATTATACATGTTTTACGGCGAGGGGTTAGAACCTTTGAGAAATGAAATGGTTTTGTAAAACATTTGTTTTTGCCCACTCACGTTTTCTGTTTTGCGCCCCTCCAGGTTTTAGGTAAGCTTGCAGTTGGTGGCGTACGAGGATCTCGGCGGCTCTGACATATTAAAATAATTGTAGGACATTTTTTGGTACTGTATGACTAGTACTTGTCCTACTGGACAGCACCTAGACTTTCTACGCTCTAATTAGGTGTACTTATACTTGTATTTCACTCTTAGCACTTCTAGCTTATGAGTGCACATTAGTAACTTTCGGTTTTTATTTATTCATATATTTCTTATCCTTATTGCTTCCGCACTGTGCACATGGCTACGTCACCCTCACGTGACAGCCAGCATGCCTTGATCTCGGTCGGGGTGTGTCAATTAATATCGAAAGAAGAAAGATATACAAACATTACCAAAATATTACATGTCTTGCATTTTTAGACACATATGTAATAATTAAGTTTACATAATCTAATTTTTCAACCAATTCTTTATATATTCTAATATGAGGCATGATAACTAACTCGTTTTTAATCAGG